CGGAGGAGCTGGGAGGTGAGCCGGGAGGCCCGCAGGATAGCCACTTGCCTCCTGAAGTGGTTTTTAGAAGGAGGCGGGTTATAAATTCCTTCTCCAGTGTTGGGTAGTGTGTACCCATGCAGTTAGGGGTGAGGGGGCTTCCCCGGCAGGGGGCCCAGCTTGAGGCAGGGACAGGACGGCCTGGGACCATGGGATGGGCACCTGTTTTGGCCAGATCAGTTTCTTGACCAGTGGTTCTGGGCTGGACCTGCACCGCCTTCTGGGGGCCTCAGGGGTCCCCAGGGGCCCCCAAGTGCTGCCTTGGCAGGGGGTGGGGTTAGATAGAGGCTGGCTCTGGGCATGGGGAGCCAGTGGGCCCAGGTTTCTGCTCCTGGGGGAGCGGGGGTCTCTTGGCTCGAAACCTGGGCTTCGCAGTGCAGGCCCTGCCCCAGGAGCCCAGGCACCGCTCAGAGGTGCCTGGCCTTGCAGACCAGCTCCTCGCCTCCTCTAAGCCGCAGGCTGCCCACTCCCTTCCCGGCGCTTCCTGGGCACTAGGATCTTGCTTCCCCGCAAGGCTCAGCTCCTCACCTCATCCCCACAGGTCTTCCTCTGCAAGTGTCTTTCCTTGGCTGTGGTCTCAAGTTCCTCTTCTACACTACATCCTTAATATAGGTTTTTGGGGCTGAGTCTCCTTATGTGTATCTGTCCATCTGTCCCTCGGGCTCCCCTCCCAGCCCGCTGATTGTCTTCAGTTGACGATGACGGGTGTCTGTCACCTCCCAACCACCCCTGGCCGGTGCCAGATCCCCCAGACACTCTAGCTCTGTGCTGAGTTGTACAAATATCATTTCTTTTAATCCTCAAAACAGCCCCGTAAGGGAAGTTACTACTCTCCTCCCCCCAGCACACCAAGCATGCTGTAGCCCCAGGGCCTTTGCACAGCCTGCTCCCTCTGCCTCAGCTCCTTCGGATCGGCTCTAACTCACTCCTCAGTCTCTGCTTAGGTGTCACCTTGGCTTTGAGGCCTTGCCTGACCACCCTCTTTGAAATAGCTCCCCTCCCTCACACTCCTTATTCCTTTTGTCTTTATTTTTCTAAGGCTTTTCCATCTGACATACTACATGTTTTACTTTTTTGTTTGTGGACCGTCTCCCTCCACTAGAATGTAAGGTCTAAGGGATGGGGTGTCTTGCTTTGTTCTCTGCTGTGCCTCTGTCCCCTGAACAGAGTCTGGCACCAAGTAGGTGCTCAGCTTTCCATTTACGAACCATGATCAGAGAGGCCAAGAACCTCGCCCAGGGTCTCCCAGGAAGTCAGTGGTGGAGCCCGACTGCACCCGGAAGTGTGTGACTTCACCTTTCCTTCCAGGGCAGTTCTGGGGTGAGTTGGTGGAGGAGGCTGGGCACAGGGCTGGCCACTGGCTGAAATAGCTGGGCCCCTGGGACAGGGGGTCCCCAGCCCGCCAGCGCGAGGGGCCCAAGGGAGCGGAAGCGTGGAGGAGCAGTGGTCTCCTGCCCAGAGCCGAGGTGCCTCTTGTCCCGGGTGGTGAGACCCTCCTGCCCCGCCCAGCCCTGGAGAGGCCGGAGGGGAGACTGAGGCCCCACAGGTGCCATCCCAGAGGAGTGGGTTGTCCGCCCTCATTTGGTTGGGGGACCGGCTGGAAAGACAGAGCTCTGAGCTGAGGCAGGAGGTCTGGCCTCAGTTTGATCCTGAGAAATGGGCACATGTGGCGACCCTTTACCTGCCCTCAGCTCTGACAGGTGGAGGTGGGGGGTGGAAGTGACCAGATGGGACAGTTCTGTCTGGGGAAAAAAAGCTACCGTGTGTGCGCACTGCGGGGATCGGGGATCGGGGCAGTTCCTGATGCCGGGGAGGGTGCTTTGCACTCACCAGGAGGGGTTCTGGGGCAGCAGGGGAGGGAGGCACCAGGCGGCTCCTTGGCCTGCGGGGTAAGAGTGGCCCAGGGCACAGGGTCCTCCCTCCCTTCCCCCTCTGCACCCTCTGCCCCGCCCCTTGGCAGCGCTTCCTGAACTTGTTTTTCTGAATCACTAATTACTTCACACTCCTCCCAGGTGGGCCAAGCTCCCGGCTAACTTCTCCTCAGAGAGCTGGCTCCTGCTCCCCTTGCTTCTGGGCGGAGCTGGGGTGCTGTCCCCACCCCTCTCCCAACCCCCTTTGCTTCTGGGGGGAGGGTGGCGCCAGGACTGTGGGCTCCCAGCTCACATCACTGGGCAGCTCCTCTCCGGATGCTGCGGAGAGCTCAGAGGTGGGAGCCCTTGGCCCAGTGCGATGCCCTGACAGCCCATTTCTCAGGGGAAGAACACTGAGGCCAGGAAAGGAACTTGACATTTACCTTCACGGGGCAGAGCAGGCGGGAGAAGCTCCGGCAAAGTTGCCAAGAGGGGACGTGTGTCTGTGTCTTCCCCCATTCTTCTTCTGTCCCTATCGGATCAGCCCGTCCGTGTTCAAGTGTAAATAAGATAAGTCTTGCCCTGGCCCGTGTGGCCCAGCTGGTTGGAATGTCATCTCCTGCCCTCAAAAGGTCATGGATTCGATTCCCAGGCAGGGCACATACCTAGGTTGCAGGTTCGATCTCTGGTCAGGTGCATATGGGAGGCAACTGATCAATGTGTCCCCCCCCCCAATCAATAAAAAAGTAAATGAGTCTTAGTGTATGACGGGTGTCTGCCCTCAGCCACAGGTCCACATCCCTAAGAGCGACAGTCATCAGGGAGCTGGCTGGGAGAGTGTGGACGATTCAGAGAAGGCTGTCCGGGCCTGTGAATCGACCCTGGCCGGGAGGTGGTGCAGGTTGATGTGAAGAGAAGGTGCAGTCTCGGAAGTTGGCAGTGCTGCGTTCAAGCCCCCCGCCCATCCCCCCGCCCCCCGGCTTCCCGGCTGTGTGACGTTAGGCAAGTCCATGATGAGGCCTGCTTCCCGGGTCCCCGGGAGGACTGAGGCGGTAACACACACACACAGCCCCGCTGTGCCCGGCACGGAATAGACAGCTGATGGATGTGCATTCCCCGAGTTCCCTCCTCACCTGCTCTCGCTCCATTTTCCCAGACCCCCGTGTTCTCTGGTGGTGTGTGCTGCCCCCACTCCCCATCCAGGTGCAGACTCCCAGGGCAGTGCAGCTCTGAGGCCTCATTAGACGGCCACGCCATGGCCAGGTGGAAATCAGGCGTGGGGGTGGCCAGGCGGTGGTGGGGCCATGGTCCCCTCTCACCCGCCGGTTGTGGCTCAGCCCTGTGCTCGGGGAGGAGCCCACCCCCACCCACCAAGCCGAGCAGGCGGCACCCTGGGCCCCGGACCCCAGCAGCGGCGCCCTGAGAGCGGTGAATGGCATCGCATGAATAACAGATGACGGCTCCGTAATTGGTGTTATTACACATGCATTTCATCTCCATTCATAATGGTTGGACACTTAACCCCGCCGTGCCTCTGCCGAGTGCCGCTGTCATCACTCTGCGAGATCCAGCAGCTGTCGGACCAGCCGCTGCCACGCTCGGGTCCTCACGGGCGCAGCCGAGTTCTCTTTGGAGCTTAGGGGCCAGGAAATGCCCGTTTGGGGAGAGGGAGGGTGGTTATTCTGGGCAGACCACCCTGTCTCCGGCGGTGGAATATATGTCTCCTTCAGGCGCTTCCCACTGCCGGGCGGTCGGCTGGGACATCCTAAGGTGAGAGGCAAGAGAGGGGCTTGGACTTGGGGCTTCCGGATGTGGGTCATGGCCGAGCTTCGCAGGCTCAGCTGACAGGAAGAGGCCCAGGGTCACCCCCAGCCCCCTGCCTCGGGCATATCCCATCGTGCAGTGGGCCTCCAGATGCAGTGTGCCCAGAGTCCCCCGGGGGGTCATTTAGTGCCCCCCCCCCACCCCCGGCCTTTCTCACTCAGTGGGCTTGGGCGGGGCCTGGGAATTTGCATTTCTAACTGGTTCCCAGGTGATGCTCCGCTGCTGGTCCAGCGCCCCGCTTGGGGGAACGCTGCCGGAAGCCTCGCTGTGCCAAGCACGGCCTGCGGACAGGCAGCCGGGCCTGCGGACAGACAGCCGGATTGTTAGAAATACAGAACCACGGGTCCTGCCCTCACCGCAGAAGCAGGGTGGCACTTTAACAAAGTCCCCGGTGGTTTACTCTCCGTACCAGTCTGAGAAGCCTTAGAGCACAGCTGGGTTCAGTCTGAGAAGCCTTAGAGCACAGCTGGGTTCAGTCTGCAGAGCCAGGCAGGGAGCAGGCCCGGCAGCTCTAGTCAGTTGCTTCCAGCCAAGACCAGCCTTGAGCTCCTAGGCTCTGTGACAGCGACTGGGAAGTATTGCCTTAGAGCAGCCAAGGAGGTGGGGGAGACCCTGTGAGGGGCGAATTTTAGCTCCCGGCTCTGAACTTTAACCCCCACCCCACCCCCGCGCCGCAAGCAGAGGCCCTGCCCCCCGGGCTCACCCATCCCTGTCTGACAGCTGCCCCCTCTCTCCACCTCACCCACAGATGGTGGCCTTTGCCTCTCTCTTCTTCATCCTGGTCTCCATCACCACCTTCTGCCTGGAGACCCACGAGGCCTTCAACATCGACCGCAACGTGACGGAGATCCTCCGCGTGGGGAACACCACCAGCGTGCGCTTCCGGCGGGAGGTGGAGACGGAGCCCATCCTGACCTACATCGAGGGCGTGTGCGTGCTGTGGTTCACCCTGGAGTTCCTGGTGCGCATCGTGTGCTGCCCGGACACGCTGGACTTCGTCAAGAACCTGCTGAACATCATCGACTTCGTGGCCATCCTGCCCTTCTACCTGGAGGTGGGGCTGAGCGGCCTGTCGTCCAAGGCGGCCCGAGACGTGCTGGGCTTCCTGCGGGTGGTGCGCTTCGTGCGCATCCTGCGCATCTTCAAGCTCACGCGCCACTTCGTGGGGCTGCGCGTGCTGGGCCACACGCTGCGCGCCAGCACCAACGAGTTCCTGCTGCTCATCATCTTCCTGGCGCTGGGCGTGCTCATCTTCGCCACCATGATCTACTACGCCGAGCGCATTGGCGCCCGGCCCTCCGACCCGCGGGGCAACGACCACACCGACTTCAAGAACATCCCCATCGGCTTCTGGTGGGCCGTGGTCACCATGACGACGCTGGGCTACGGGGACATGTACCCCAAGACGTGGTCGGGCATGCTGGTGGGGGCGCTGTGTGCGCTGGCCGGGGTGCTGACCATCGCCATGCCCGTGCCCGTCATCGTCAACAACTTCGGCATGTACTACTCCCTGGCCATGGCCAAGCAGAAGCTGCCCAAGAAGCGGAAGAAGCACGTGCCTCGGCCGCCCCAGCTCGAGTCCCCGATCTACTGCAAGTCCGAGGAGACCTCGCCCCGGGACAGCACCTACAGCGACGCCAGCCCCGCCGCGGCCCAGGAAGAGGGTCTGGTCGAGAGGAAGCGGGCAGGTGAGGTTGGCGTTTGGGAGGGAAGGCCCCGCTCCCGCCGTGGCCCAGGGAGTCCCTGGGCTCCTCGGCCCTCGGGATCCGCTCTGTGCTTTACCGCTCTGGGCTCCCCGGGTGTAACCTGTGCCCAGTGAGGGCCAAGTAGAGGCCGAACCTTTGTATCGTTTGGTTGTCTGATAGCTTCCTGATGTGGGGCCTGGGGGTGAGTGTCCTGCTGAACTTGGGCTGCAGGGGGCGGCACATGGGCTGTCAGTTAGCAGCCTCGGTCCCTAATCTCGCGGTGCCCACTCTGCTGTGTGCTCTGAGGCCAGTCCCTCGCCCCCTGTGGGCATAGATTCCGCACCTGTAAAATGGGAACGATATTCATATCCTACCCCCAGACTTTGATGGGACCCAAACAAATGACAGAAAGTCTTTAGAGATCTTTACAACCATCAGGCACCGTCGTTAGCTGGAGAGCAGGGCAGCTGTTCTCCCCAGGTGCGTCCACAGTGAATCCCTTCTCCCCAACCTCCCAGTCTGCTGTCTCTGGCTAATTAGTGTGATCACATAACAGCAGTGGGGGGCTGCCTGCTGCTCAGCACAAGCTAGACTGAGTCCTGGGCTCGGGGTTGGACATGGGATGGCTGGGGCAGGGGCAGTGGGTGGGGGTTGGGGGGAGCCCAGAGGCAGTGGCCAGGCATTGCTGGGAAAGCCTGCTGCAGCTGGCGTCCGTCCGAGTCCAGGGGCCTGAGGGCCTGAACCTCGGGCTTCAAGGATGGGAGGGGCCCCCAGGAAAGCCTGCCCCCACCTGAGTCAGGAGATGGGAGAGGAGATTGGCTCAGCCTTGGCACTGGAGTCAGGTCGGGAATGGAACCTCGCTGTTGGGAATGGGGTGGGCTCCTAAGGGAAGCTGGGATTCCTGTGTGGGGACCGCTGGGGGCTCGGCCATCGGGGACTTGGGGGCAGGCCATCGGGGAGCTGGGGGCTAGGCCATCAGGGAGCTGGGGGGAGGCCATCGGGGACCTGGGGGGAGGCCATCGGGGACCTGGGGGGAGGCCATCGGGGAGCTGGGGGCAGGCCAGGACACTAAGGTAGCAGCTCCTGGCTAGGCTTGTGGGCAATGTGGGACTCATCCCCCAGAGCAGGTGCCTGATTTGGGACACGCACCTGTGGCCTGTTGAGGGACACGCACCTGTGGCCTGTGGGGGACACGCACCTGTGGCCTGTGGGGGTGCCCATCATACATGCTGAAACCACTCACTGCCTGGGGCCCTCCAGGCGCCTGGGTCTTCCGTAGACCTTGATGGAACAGCACCCACTGGGCTCCCCTCCTTCCCCCCCCCAGAGTGGTACCCTCCCCTGCCCTTGAGTATCAATCTCCAGCCCGAGCTCCAGGGAACTGGAGCTGTACCCCAGGCCCTTTCAGGGCTCAGAGGGAACCAGACACCATAGCGTGCACGTCTGTAGGCCAGCCGCCCGGCACACACTAACCAATGCCCGTCGGCCATGCCTTAGCCTGGCCCTCACTGCTTGGCCACAGTCAGGGCTTTACTGGCAATGCCAGGGCCACTGCCTTCAGACCGAGCGGCCCCCCTTCTGCGGATCCAGGCCCAGCTTCACCTGGGCTGCGGCCTGTCCGGGCAGGAGCTGGGTGAAGAGCCCACAGCAGTGGGAGCTGAATTGGAGCCTCGTCCCCCACCAGGGTCCCCAGACACCAGGGAGCCCCGAGCACAGGGAGCTCTGAATCCTTCAGGCGCTCGACTCCAGCTTGGACGCCTGGTGAACAAGAGTAACCGCCTTCAGGTGGTTGGGGCAGACAGCTGGGAGCGCCACTCTACTGGCGTAGCCCTGGCAGTGCCACCTGCGCCCGACAAGCCAGGCGTCTCCGAGGGGATCCAAGCTCATGAGGTGCAGCCTGAGCCAGACCCAAGGAGGAGGAAGTCCGCCGCCTGGGGGGGGGGAGGCGGGGGCAATCTCGAGGGGCAGCAGACTCGGGGAGTCCTTGCTTAGGGCATCTGTGGCCCATCTCCCAGGAAAGACGCTAGGCCAAGGCTGGGGGGGAAGCCAGCACCTGCCCCCTGCCCCCAGGACAGACCCACTCCCTGGGCCCCTCCCCAGGTTGGAGAAGTGACCCCAGGTGACCCAGGGAGGAAGGCCCGGGCAGCACTGAGCATGTCCTGTCTGACCCCCTAGATTCCAAGCAGAATGGAGACGCCAACGCCATGCTGTCGGATGAGGAGGGGGCGGGCCTCACCCAGCCCCTGGCCTCCGCCCCCACCCCCACCCCGGAGGAGCGCCGGGCCCTGCGCCGGTCCGGCACCCGAGACAGAAACAAGAAGGCGGCCGCCTGCTTCCTGCTCAGCGCCGGGGACTATGCCTGCGCCGACGGGAGTGTCCGGAAAGGTATGGCTCTCCAGGCTGGGCAGGTGGGGAGCCCCAGTGTCCCCCACAAAACTTGAAGCCCTCTCCTCCCCCGAGGCCATGGCCATCATCTCTTCCCTGGATGCACCCCAACTTTTAGGATGGGTACCCTGACCTCCCAGTCCGATTTCCTTAGAAAGGCCCACAGCATCCCCAAGAGGTACACATGGCCCGTACCCCAGTGCCCACAGGGAAAACAAGCGCTGACTGGGAGCAGGGGTTCATGGGAGCAGGGGTCCCTGCCCCTCCCCTCCATCCTGTCACCATCTTCCGCTGGTGCCTGCTGTGACCTGCAGGTCTGGCTTCCCAGGGTCACTGCCTGCCTTTCCCTCGGCCTCCCTTAGACGCAGCTAAGGCTCCCCCAAGTAAGTAGTCCCCACAACGCTCAGGAGTCGGGGGGAGAACGGGGTGCCGGTGTGAGGTCCCCTGGCACAGGCCCACCTCCTCCGTCCTGCCTTTTGGGGGCCTGGAGCCCAAGAGGGGCGGACCCAGCTCTGCAGCCCCGGATGTGACTTAAGTAGAGCCAGAGGGTGACAGGGAGCGGGAGGCCGGGGGCGGGGGGTGGGGCAGGGTAGAGCTCCCCTCCTAGGTGTGTTCTGAAGGGTTGGAAGTGCCCAGAGGCAGCCATGGCCTCCCGTCAGGAAGACTGCAGCGCCATCAGCAGGCCCCAGACCCACACAGGCCCTGGCAGAAGTGGGGGTGGAGCTGGGGCTCCTGGCCTGCGGGGGGCAGGAGTGATGAAGGATGGTCTGGTCAGCAGTGGCTGGGGACCAGGGGCTAGGACCAGGCCCTGGTCACTGTGTGTGTGTGTGTGTGTGTGTGTGTGTGTGTGTGTGTGTCTGTCTGTCTGTCTGTCTGTCTTCCCTGTCCTGTGGCCTAACCTCCCTAACACGCCCTGCCTAGTTTCAGAATCAACCTTGATCCCCCCTAACAAAGCTGTGCCCTGGTTCTCGGGCCACTTCTTACCCAGCTCTCCTCCAGCCCAATCCCCCCAACACTTCTCACTGTCCTCAAACCCCGGATCAGGGAAGGCATCTGTGGCAGGGAGAGTGCCTGCTGTAGGAATAGCCTGTCCCCCCAAGGATGTCCCCTGGCCGGTCCAGCTCACATGGCCTCCAGAGCCACCTTCCCAGGCCCTGTTCCCGGCCCTCCCAGCACCACTGTTCCCACAGGGCCCCTGGGGTGCCCTGACCCTCACCAGGCCCTGAGGGTGCATGTCAGCGTAAGTCCTGTTGGGCGACAGAAACAGGAGCGACCTGGCAGCTGGAAGGAGATGCCCGGATGCTGTGCTCAGCCCGCGGCACCCTCTCCTGTGTGCCTGCGGTCGCTCCCGGCTCTTGGGCGCCCCGATCCTCTGGCCCTGGCAGTGCCTCCCCCTGCTCCCCACCCCAGCAGGCAGTGGCTTCCACGGTGTCCTGGTCAGACCCGGATGCTACTCTGGCTGCAGCTCACTAAGGGGCCAGCCCAGAATATGAGGACAGGCACCGCCTCATGGAGGACTTGAGCACCCCTGCTGTCCCCCCAGTGTTGTGAGGGGCTCAGTGGAAGGAACGGAGGGAGGAGGGACCGTGAGGTATGGGGAGCAGGTGGCCCTGGGGAAGGCGTCGCACTGCGCGCGGGGCCTGCGTCCCACCCCTGCATCTCTGGGGGCTCCTGGGCACCGGCTGCTCTGTCTTCAAGATGCCTCCACACTGCTTCTTGGCAACAGCGTGTAACTCAGCCAATTAGAGTGACCTTCGAGCGGGAACAGGTGGGTTGCCAGGAAACAGGCCGTGCCGTGCGCTCTCGGCAACTTTCCCCTGCGCCAGGCCCGCTGCTCTCACTTCTCCGTACCGGGCTCACGTAGGACCAGGAGAGAGTGGACAGGCCTCCTCCTGCCGCTCCGGCCCCACGGTGAGCCTGTAGCTGCCCTGGCATCAGAGTGAGGACGCCTGGAGGTGGCGGTGCTGCCCAGGGCTTCTGAAAGGGGGGCGCTGAATCTTCATGCACCTGGAGGGGAACTTAGCTGGGACAGCGCAGGGCAGAGGTCAGCTGGGTGTGGCCCTGGAGTCCACCCTCAGGGGACCGGGGAGGCCAGCCCCTCCACCCGGCTGGGCCGCCTGCCCTGCAGGGTGCCCTGGAGTTCGAGGCCGTGGAGCCGCTCTGGTAAGCTGTGCGCCCTCTGACCTGTGCCTTTTCTCTACCAAGGCCGTGAAAAGTCCAGGAGTCTAAGCAACATAGCCGCAGCAGCCGGAGCCAGCCTGGGGCTGTCTCCACTGGCACCCCGATACAGCTCGCCCTACTCTCCGAGAAAGCTCCTGCTCTCCCTCCCTCCACACCCCCTCACCAGCCCGCCGCCTGGACACTCTGCCCCTTAGCTGCACCGGCCCTCCTGCCCCCGGGCCCGCACACACAGGGAGCCACACTCGTGCCCGCCGGCCCCGCTCCTGGGGCCTCAGGGAGCCGGGTGGATGCAGGAGAATCCAGGCCCCGAGCCTCTCCCCACAGCACCCAGCTCCCCACGATGCTCAGGTTTGGACCCGAGGGCGGAGGGGATTACTCTCAGGGCCCCCATCCTGAGCAGGAGGGGCGCCACCCCCAGGACCTGTGTCTCTGAGCCCTGCCCTCCCCCACACAGTCCCACCTTAACCAGATACATCTCCATTCCTGTGGCCTTCAACCAGTAACCAAACAGCTGGCAACCAGTGTCTCTGTCTGTCTGTCTGTCTGTCCATCCCACACCCAGAGCAGCAAGGCTGTCCCATGAGCGTCTCCGCTGTGGCCGGGGTGCGGGGAGGCCCTCCCCCCCCCACTGGGGACACCCACACCCCATCTGCGCCCCCGCCTCGGCCCCTCTCGCCTCACTGCTTTCCTCTGCTTCCAAGCTGTTGCCTCCCCTCCCCCTCCGCTGCCTCACTGCCAGCCCAGCCCCTGCTCGCCTCGCTCCCACCCAGCCTTGCGCTCTGTGTTGCTGCCAGAACCGGAGACTCATCTAATTTCTCTAATTAAGTGTATTCATTTACCTAACGAGCCAGGAGCACAACAGGGTTGTAAGTCACTGTGTGAGCAGGGCTGCACCTTGGCAGGGACAGCTGAGGGGTAGTGGGGGGACAGAGCTACCCTGCCTGCCACTCCGGGTGCACTGCCGGGAGGGCGGGGGGCGGGGAGCCGAGCCTCAGGGCCCGTCCCCAGCAGTGGCCAGAGCAAGGCCCTCAGGCCGGCCCTCCACAGCCAGGGCCAGCCCAGGGCTTCTGTCCACCTGATGGG